GCTCCGGTTCCGCTGCTCCGGTTCCGCTGCTCCGGTGCCGCTGTGGCCAGTCCTAGCACGACCAAACTCGACCCGCTCCGCTTCGTACACGCTCTCGTTGCTGTCCACCCCAGTCGGTTCCTCGCTTTCTTTCTCCCTCGTTGCATTAGGGTTCTTGGTGTAAAAATTCTCGCGCCGAAGGGTCAACCAGCCCAATCAGCTCGTCACCACCTGTCCCCTCCTCCTTCGCGGTAAAAACCAGGTTACTGAGACAGTACAGCTCCCTCTAGCAAACCTAGGGCCGTGTGTGTGTGTTTTCGTCCTATGTATTATGGCGACAGTCCCCCCTTTTTTCGTGGTGGAACGTGTACTACACTTTCCAGCGTATGTAGAGTAGTACTAGTCTACACTTTCAGTGTATTTTTCGTACAACTAAAACCACCCAGGGTCACAGGAGGGGGTAAACACCAGGGCTTTTTTCTTCTTTTTATTTCTTTTCATGCCCCTCCTTCCTACTGCGGTGCGTGCTGAATTTTTTTTTTTATCGCGAGAAGGGTCCAGCCGTCCCTTTCCCTCGTCAACGGTGCTAACGTCGAAGTTTGGTACTCACGAGAGCTTGTCAGCTATATTTCGCTGTCACCCGCACATTTCGTAAATTTTCACCCCATGGAGACTCGAACTCACGACCTCTCGCTGTGACTAGCGGATTACGAGGATACCACTGGACTAGACCACCGGGGCGACCGGATTGGGACGTGTACATAGTGCCCGTCCACCTTTCTGATGACGTCTGCCTCCGCGCACAAGGATGAGATGGGCATTGCTGCCTACACCGACGGCCTGGAGGCCCGCGCATCTGCACCTTTGTACCTGACTCACCAGTGCCGACCCAACTCCACCACTACGCACGCCTCGCGGCGGGTGCGCCGCAGCAAGAAGGTATCGATCCCTTGAGGGTGAGTCTAAGCCCTGCTCGCTAGAAAGACCCCCCCCCTCGCTATGGGTCATGCCTACGCAAGAAAACCTTGCCGAGGCAGCGAGGGGAAGAAAGGGTTGACTCGCTTAAGACTGGCCGAAACGTTTTTGTCGTGTGTGTGGTGGTAAGGGCCAAGCACAGAGTTGCCCGCACGTCCACGCGCCCGAACATTGCGGTGCGCGTCAAACCGGTGCAGATATGTAGAAACGCCTTGGTTCGGCGAACTTCCCGAGATAGTGCTATTCTTAGAAATTCTAGGTCGCTGGCGCTGAGGAGCGCGAGATCATGGATCGTACGGTCCCTGGCGTCCTGTTTCTATGTAGTGACCTCGGATAGCAGAATGAGCACGTCCACGACCTGGTCTGCTGCCCTGTCTGTATTATTTTTTTTCTCCCATGTTTGCCATCGGGACCGGTCGCCCCGGTGGTCTAGTTGGTAACCTCGAAACCTCTTAGAGGTCAGGCCAGTGGTTCGAATCCCGGCGTAAGCGAGCTTTTCTTCCACCGCCGTCCGCCCGTCGCGCGGCTGAGCCTTCGCGCTCCTCCAGCCCTGCACCACCGCGAAAGCCGCCCAAATCGGGCGAAATCGGCCGATTCCCCCCTGCGTCACCGAGATTCTACCCCGGGCTGTTCGTATATAAAAGATCAAGCACTCCGATTGGAGGGCTTTCGGCGGAGAACGCCAACGTCGAGTAACGTCATCACCCATTCTGTTCTCGGCGGGACTTTTTTTCAAAGGTTTACTCGGTAACGTTTTATTAGGCGGACAGGTTGTCGGCGGTAATGCCATTTGGTGGTATTTGTTTTGGCGGGAGGCGGTAATGCATTTTTCGGCGGTAACGCCACACGGCGGAAGAAATGGTTTTGGCGGAAGGCGGTAACAGCGCGTTTTTCGGCGGTTTCTGGCGGAGGCGGTAAAACAACAGAACGGCAGTAAAATGGCGGATTACCGGGACCGCCCACCACGGCGGTAATGAGTGCCATTGCCGTCGCCCTAATTGAATTCTCGCGGAACGTCGTCGTCGACCGTCGATCGTCGACCGTCGACCGTCATTTTACTAGAAAACAGACTGCGGTCGAAAAATATGACAAAAAAATCCCATATTTTTTTCAGTTGTTGTGTAACTGAGTGAAGCCTTGGAGGGTATGATCACAGTTGCTGTGTGCCGAGATTGAGTCTTGGGCAGATATGAGAACGGCGCCGACCATGAATAGCCGCCATCCGAGGATTTCAGGAGCTTCCCCACTGCATGACGCATCGGAGAGAACAGCAGTTCGGCAGATGTACACTGGAGGACTCAGCAGCTGGTGGTCAGGACATATATATGCGTACTCTACATGTCTACATGTCCAGCCAGCCCGGTTGGGTCGTCTAGCCAGTAGAAGTGGAGGATAGGGGCCAGAGGGGCAGACG